AGTCTCCAGAAACCAATCTGGTAAAAACTTACAGAGATCAAATGTTTCCGTTGTCTGAAAGAGAAACCTTAATTTTAAAAACAGACCATTTTCAGTGTGTGACTTGAAAGATAAGTCTGATCAAGTAAGAGAAACCTAGATTATTTGTATGTAGTGACTCTTTAATGTGTCAATGTCCGAGTCCCTTGACAGTACAATATGTTGGGAGAAAATAAGTTAACCTTTTTGCCATTGAAAAAGTATAATGAGTTGGATTTGTCTGCTTTAATTACTTAACTGTCGCGAGTTGAGATAAATTAGATGCAATAACAATCAAAGGCAGACTGGAGGAAATCAGACTTGCGTCTTATAGAAGTAAATGAGACAATAATAACAGGTTCATCGGCATAAAAATGAGAAGCAGCCTTTGATAAATTATTACAGAGATTATCGTACATATATGGGTGAAATTATGGTCGGGTCCATCTACTTTCAGTGTGTAAGAAGGAGTCTCCTAAGTTTCCTCCACGATAGCCCAGTCCCCACATGGTGAGTGTACTTATGAGTCATTTGCTTTCGTGCCAAGTGTACAGTGGAGGGTTTCGAGGATTGATTTCACTACATCAGGCGCAATTGTGGCGTTCTTCTTTTTTTTTGCGTATAGTGCCAGCCAGGGGAGAGGAAATAAAGGCCACTGCCCCCCTCTGACCGATGTTATCAAAAGCTTCTATGCTGTCCCTCGAAAGGAATGGTTTTCCACCATGAAATCAATAAGTAGAGGAATATAATAACCTGTTTTTTCGATAGTTGGTCTGCGATTAACAGTGTAGAAATCTCCTTTCCAGTGCTGGCACGACCTCTCGGCTCCTTGCACATTGCATGCAAGAGAGATGCTCCCTTTGATTTTGCATGGTTTCTGAAATCCCCTTGTCTCTCTCCACCGCATTTTTCAGTTACAGAAGCAAGCAGACATAACAGAATCCATTCTCCGGGGTTTGCTAGACTGCCGGACGAGCAGAAACACAAATTGCAGCATCGGCCTTGACACTGTATTCAAGCCCAAGACTCGGTGTGATACCAAGCAGAGACAAACGAAACGCCTGCCTGCCAGTGAGGATGCGTAAGGGTAACTTTTAAGAAGATTGTTTGGGGCTGAGTCCAGTCTCCAAGACATCTATGGTTGTTGAATTTCACACGTAATTAGCTGCAGGCAGTGGATGTGCTGGGCTAGCAGTTGTGTCGAAGAGCACGGCTCCAGCTCTTCAGAGGTGGTGCCGCCGAGCGGGAGATGGTGCATTATTCCCTTGTTTTCAGGAGGGTGGACGGAGTGAAGGAGTTGGAGTGAGGCCGTGTAGCAGCTGCACGCTTGCAGCCATTACCTATGTCCCATACTTTATCCTTCCGGAAGCGAGCAATGTAGTTCGTGCTCACTGACTCTGAATTATGCCCGCCATTTTGAATTAATTAACAACAAATCAAAGGCGGTCCATTGGTCAAGGAAATACACCTACCAATCACCAGTGAGCACACCTCAAGGCTGTGTTTATTTATATTCTGTTATTACTGAGTTATTTCACACAAAAAAGATTGGTGGAAACGTTGTCATTATAATATGATAAAAAAGATAATTAAAATAACGCAAGATTGGCAGGGCTTGCCTGGCCTGGCAGGTGGGTCACAGTTGACTCATTGGGGGGCCCGCAATTCCACCGCAGAGCCCGACCCGGCCAGGTGAACGAAAACGTCCCGTCAGAGGACGTTGACTTACCGTCCTCGTAAGGCCAGACCTTTATCTCGTGTAATTGAACAACAGTGGTCAGATGGAAAATGAGCATCGTGCGACCATGTTGACCAACGTTGCCTTCTGCTCCGTTTGTAATCCAGCGACGAAATCCCAGTCACAAAACCCTTCTCAAGATTAAGCGCACTGACAGTACGTATTACGCTTAGTGACCAAGAGGAACTGCCACAAGAATGGAATTCCAGATTAGCGTTGGCTACATTGTATGCGAGGGATGCAAACTATGATTGAACACAATCATTATCGTTATGATTCCATCATGTATATCGTTTCTATTTCCAGCAGAGCATGAATGGAGTAGCCGTCGCTTGTTGTGCACAGTGTCGTACCGCATGATCCCTAACGCTGCGACTCACAAAGGTCTGCTTGACCGCGGTTAAAAAGTTCGTGAGGACAAAGTAGGAATCATGAGTCTGTTGATTCCTCTGCAGAAGATGAGTGATATAAGGGTGACTACTGTTAACTCCTTACACTGGGTTTAACCTGCATGTTCAGTCATTTAAACGAAAATATTAGAAGTATAATAATAGCTACTCCAAATGCGAAATAATAAACTGTGATGGAAAGAAATGCAGCGTTTTTCTGTAAAATAAATGATGGTTAGCTTCACGCCGCATACTGGTCATAGTAGAGTTTCGTTGACCAATGGGGCGGGCGTGGATGTGGTCTGACCAGCTTCGCAAAATCGTATTCTCCTTATCAACAGGTGTAAGGGGATCCGGGCGCTGAGACCCGAGCTGAGTCGTTGGACTTTGTAGTCAGCTCCGAAACTGGAAATTGACCATTGCTTGGTTCGGCTCTTGGCC